CTCTCAAAAAGTACATGTCACTCTGCTGTCAGATGCAATGACCTCTTTGCTGGCTTAATCAAAATAACCAATGAACAATTTTGCATTCTTTTTCTTTCTAATATTATGGATGTTGATTTGTTTTCCTTTTTTTTCTATCTTTTTAGGGTTATGTGGTTCATGCTCTATTGTTCTGTATTTTTAGATCATTCTCTTTCATGTCTTTGTGACTCAGAATACATAATCCGTTTTTATTTTTCCTTTTTTATTTAAATTAGAAATAATGTTGTTTTACATGTTAATCCCTCTCACTACCCTCCTCCCCTGCCCCACATAGTTCCTTTCTCCAGTCCCCTTTCTGCTCCCCAGTGAGGGTGAGGCCTCCCATGGGGATTTTCAAAGTCTGCCCTATCATTTGGAGCAGGACCTAGACCTTCCAACATGTGTCTAGACTGAGAGAATATCCCTCTATGTGGAATGGGCTCCAAAATTTCATTTGTATACTAGGGTTAAATACTGTTCCACTGCCACAGGCCCCTAACTGACACCCATGTCCAGGGGGACTGGATCAGTCCCATGCTGGTTTCCCAGTCTGGAGTCCATGAGCTCCCCCTTGTTCAGGTTAGATGTTTCTTTGGGTTGCATGAGCCTCATCTTGGCCTCTTTGCTCATTACTCCTCCTTATCTACAATTGGATTCCAGAAGTTCAGCCCAGTGTTTAGTTGTAGGTGTCTGCTTCTGCTTCCATCAGCTACTGGATAAAGGCTCTAGGATGGCATATCCATTTTGTTTTGTTTTGGTTTTTTTTTTGTCAGATAGAATATAAGATGCTGTAATTCTCTCTTGTCAATATCTATTTAGTGTGTCTATATCTAATTAGGCACTTGCCTATGTGTTTTCCCATTCAAAATCCTTGTATACTTCTATTAAGCAAACACACAAAGATGTGTGAGCAAGTAAGGAATGCTGAAAGTGGGAGAACTAGTCTAATCCAGGGAAGAAGACACCAACAAGTTATCTAATACAAAATGGCCTGCCTTGAAAATAGATTGAGCAGGTTACATTTATGTGTTGAGGGATATATTTGTATGTACATATACATACTTGTAAGCACCAACAATTAATGTAAAGAAACCATGAATTTTAAAGACAGTAAGAAGGAGTGTGGGGAGGATTTAGAGAAGAAGAAAAAGATATGACTGTAATATAATGTTAAAAACAAAGGCATTTATGAGGAATAATGAGGAATGTCCTCTTGCTGTCCTCCTTCTATAAATAAAGCACTCTGTGGTGAAGATCAGTAAACATTATTACTCTGAATCACTGTCTCCAGCAATGTTTAATTTTCTACAGTCATTTCCTGATAATTAATATTGTTACTGGTGTTATCATGGTTTCAGTCATAATTAATTGAATATAGCTATCCTTGATATGATATTAAGCCTTAGTAGCTATAAGAAGTAATGGGAGCATTCCTTGATCTAGAAACCAGTAATAGAACCAAAAGAAGTCCACAATTATGGGTATAATTACAAAAATACAAATGACTGAAAGGTCAAAACAGTCTCATAGACATTCTTAATCAGTTCCAGAAAAAATGTTCTTAAATGAAAATTCCCCAAGGATAAGCTCCTATGTAAAGAGAAACCTTTTCCTTGTGAGAAGCCTTCCCGCCAGCCTGGTTCCAGAGCCCCATCAGTCCCAAATAAACACACAGGAGGCTATATTAGTTATGAAGCTGTTGGCCTTGCTTGTTTCTTACTGGCTAGCTCTGACTTAAGTAATTACCCCATAATTGTTAATCTAAGTATTTCTCTTACTGGAGAATAGTTCCGGGCTTCCTACCCCAATGGCGTTACATCTTGACTCCTTGTGTTTCTCCTACCCAGAGTCCTCCTGGACTCCTAGTCCCACCTATCATGCTTCTCTATTGGCCAACAGTGCTTTATTGACATATACACAGAACTTCCCCTATCACTCCTATGTATAGTACATAAAGGAACAGTTGTAGGAGTGTATCAAATTTAAATCTTCTATTTAGACTAAAAGGGGAATTGTAGGAGTGAACCCCACAAAGCTATCCGCCCAACAGGGCGGGGTCAAGGTAGATAAAAGGAAGTGAAAGGAAAAGGGGCTGCCCTTTTTTCTCCTGGAAGCCAGCCACGCTTCTAACTCCTGGTATGTGCGACTCTCTCTCTCTGGTAAATAAATATATCTTTTTCCTTATATAGCATCGAATATCGTTAGAAACAGTCATCAACTTTATCAGTGAGTCAGGGAGTTTAAAGAAAGCAGAAGCCAACAGCTCAGTATAGATTTGTATTCACACTGCTAGGATCCTTGGTGGTTAAAATGAATGTCAGCCCCTTTCAGGTTTCTAGACATGTACTTTAAACTAGAAACAAGAACTAAAATTTGATTTGTGTTTCAAGAATTTACATTGGTTCAGTCTTCAACACACCATTTACCTGGAAGAAGTATCACTAAATCCAACTTCCATGTTCTCTTAAATGTGAGGGACAGAGCTTGGTAGTTGTCAGTGGCTTGGAGTCACACACAAAAACTGAAGAATAGTCAGCCTTTTCAGCATAAATGAAGTAACAGGAAAGAATAAATTTTTTTGGTTTTTCGAGACAGGGTTTCTCTGTAGCTTTGGAGGCTGTCCTGGAACTCACTTTGTAGACCAGGCTGGCCTCGAACTCACAGAGATCCACCTGCCTCTGCCTCCCGAGTGCTGGGATTAAAGGCATGCACCACCAACACCCGGCAGGAAAGAATAATTTTAAAAAGTAGAAATTTATATGAAATTGTCATAGCTTTTGGCCCTGACATTAAAACAAGAATATGAGTTTATTTTTTTAACAAAGCATCAGTGACATCATACTTTCTGTACAGCAAAAGTTTATTCTGCTAATGTTACAAACACAATAAGTAGTTAATTAAAGACTTGAAACAGTGTATAAAAGCAATTCAACACACTGTTTCTTATGTTTGTAAAATTATGTTTTACATTGACATGCCATGTATACGTCATTTCATGATATATTTACTTTCAAATTCCTATAATATCAAAATACAGTTAATTAAATGTTACTGCGTTATTTGAAAACAGTTTAGAGGAGAATAGAAAAAAATCCTGATATCCTAACTATATGATATAAGTTATATGAATCATATAAGATTTCTAGAGAGAACTTCATTTTAGCACTTTGCATTTAACTCACAAAGCTTTGAGTATATTGAACATAAGTACAGTATTTGTTTCTAGACATATGGAAATATATAATTTTGTAATTTGTTTGGTGATGCAAAAACATATCAAATTACTGATAATAGAGATCATTATAATTTTCTATGTGAACTTTTTGGCTCATGCCTACAATCCTAGTCACTTTGGGGACTATGGCAGGAAAGTTATAATTCAAAGTTTGTTTGGACTACAAATCAAGTCCAAGGATAATTTAGTCAACATAAAACCTCATATGAAAACAAAAAGAATACAGAAATTGCTGCTGTTATAACTAAGTAATAAGGTACATTGGTTACCATGTTTTCTGACTTGTTACCACAAGGGAAAGTGTTTCTGTGTTCCAGGATTTATTGAAGGAACTTTCTCCAAGGAAATAGTAGTCAGCAGAAGACAGTAATGGGGTTTGTCCTTCTGTGTGTACATTTCTCTTATTAATTAATGAATAAAACACTGTTGGCCAATAAAGCAGGAAGATAAGCAAGACTAGGAGAAGAGGAGAATTCTGGGAAGTGTAGGCAGAGAGCAGTAGCCACGTAGCCCACCAAAGTAGTAGCAGGTCCAGACCCTTCTCTGGTAAGATAAGACCATTTGGAAATACTTAGACTACTAGAAATGGTTAACAATTAAGACAAAGCTAGCCAAGAATAAGCCCTAACTACTTGCCAACAGTTTAATAATTAATATAAGTCTTTGAGTTGTTAGTTTGGGGTCTCAAGGGTGGCAGGACCTGCTGGGCCAAGAACCTCTTGCAACAAGACAGTGCCTTGGAATCATTGTTCTTTGATCTTTTGTATTCTTTTCAATAACCACTTTCATTTGTTCATCACTAAGTCATGCAAAAGACTATATGTTAAAATAGCATTTCCCCACTGTGACTAGGGACTAATGCTAATCACCTGAAATAATTGCTTCTGTCTTGATATAGTACCCCTGGGAATACCTTCTGTCTTCTGGTTATGCACAATAAACCTGACCATGTCAATTTAATTACTATATTATTTCCACTCAAAGTGATGAAGTTAACTAAAGGGTTTAGCAAATTTATTTTGCAAGTACCTTATATGAATCCCTTTAACTTTGGCTCATGATAATTCTGTAAAACAGAATAGCTAAATAGCCAAATTCTCAGACAGACATTTCAACTTCCTTGAAAACATGCTGAAAGTTTTTGCTATCTTAATGTCTGTGTCTATCTATATGACTTATTTTTCCATTGTTAAAGTCAATTGAATGTGTCAGAGATCAACAGAAATATGTGCCTTTCACATTGACAAAAATGTGTACTAAACATTCTTTAGAAAGATTTTCTAGCACTATTTATTCAAGCTAAGTATAGGTGTATATCTTAGGGTTCAACTGTTATAATCCTGAATAAATAGTTTAAAATATGAGTGTGTGTCCTCTGATTAACATGTATGAAAACATTCATCAATTCATCATGTTAATTGTAAAGACTTAATCTTGAAAATAACGTGTGCACAGAACTGACTGAATATTAAGAAAATCAGTGTAAGTTCATAAAATGAAATTGCTTCTATTAATAAATAGAATTGGTAAATAACTAACGAGAAGACATGTGTAAATTTAATACATGACATTAAGCAAAGTTATCTTTAATGGATAGATAGACTATAAGGATTGGAAACAATATTGTGTAATAATACCTAGAATATCCCTATTATTCCTGCTATTCTAATGTGTAGGTACAGAAAATGTTGCTAATTTTCCCTTGAGAATACTGTGGTGTACCGCTTTTCTCTTTTTCTTGTAGTGTCCTGAATTTAAAAGGCCTCGAGATATTGCAGTTGACTGGGTTGCAGGAAATATATATTGGACTGATCATTCTAGAATGCACTGGTTTAGTTACTATACTACTCACTGGACCAGCCTGAGATACTCCATCAATGTAGGACAGCTGAATGGCCCCAACTGCACCAGACTCTTGACTAATATGGCTGGCGAGCCCTATGCTATTGCTGTAAATCCTAAAAGAGGGTAGGTTGATGCTTGGTGTTTCTGTTTCTTGAGAGAATACAGATGTTCATATTTATAAATGCTATTCTATATTTTTATTCAGTGTAGAACATATTTCTGAGACCTGAGAAATTTTTCTCTCAGAACCATTTCCTTTCTCTGATGTTAACACAAAATATCTTAATAAATGTTTTCTGTATTATTCAATGAGTGTATGCATGAGTACCTATTCTCTAGTATTTATTTGCATGGATTAAAAAAACAGCAGAAGATAATCACATGACTATTACTGTTAAACATGAAATGAATTTTTCAAGACCTTAAATTTATTAAAGATAGTGTTTAGAGATTACGGAAAGCAAGCAAGATATGAAGACATATATTTACATGTAACTCTTTATATTTTGATGATTTAATATGGTGATATCCTTTATATGGTATAAAATTAAAAGCCTCCATACACTGTTGATAAGTAAAGGGAAACATTAAATGAAAGTCTTAAATATCTAAGAAAGAACCCTGGTTAATGAAATTGTAGAATATCTTATATTCAATGAGAAAACCATTTCATTTAAAGAAATAGTTTCTTAGAGCTCCCTGTAATTTCAGCACTTGAAGACAGAAGGATAAATATTTCAAAGAATCAGGAGGAGCCTGAGGCTAGCCTGGGCTTTCCTATCTGGAAAATAAGAGAAAGAAAACTTACTCTTTTGGGGGGAGGATTGTTCTAATAACTGTATTTTAAATTTTTCTTATAAATAGATTCTTCCCTCATACAATATTTCCCAACCAGAGTTTCCCCTCCCTCCACTGCTTCTAACTCCCTCCCTTTCCTCTGAGGATTTCTTTCATGTATTGATCATACTGACACCCTCACTCATCACTCTTGACTCCTTTAAGAGACCCCTCTCTACCGTGTCCATCTTCCAATTTTATGTCTGTTTCCTTTTAAATTTGTATTTTACATTTATTACCCATTTATTTGACCATAATTTATAATATATTGAGTAACCTGTCACTATCAGATGATTTCAAATTATAGAAACAGGTTTTTTTTGAGATTTCTTTATGGTGTTTTGAGAACTAAATTTATACTAGTAATAAATTATGTTTTATATTATTAAAATATATCTCAAAATTTATATTTGGTTAAGATTTTATTAACAGTACTGTTTTACATGACTCCCTGTTGGAGCTGGACATTCTACAGCTTTCAATTTGGGTCAGGAATCTGCTTAATGAGGGGACTGGATCACTTTGACACATGAGGCCTGAATAGGCCATGGTAAAGGAAGGACAGTTTTCACAGCACAATCTACAAGCTAATATCCTTGACCTATTCTCTTTAGGATGATGTACTGGACTGTAATTGGCGACCACTCCCATATAGAAGAAGCAGCCATGGATGGCTCTCTCAGGAGGATTTTAGTACAAAAAAACTTACAGAGACCCACAGGTATGAAGTATTTACACATACTAAATGTGAAGCAAGATGATAACCTTATTAGTATTAACATTTCTTTCTAGTATTCTTCATAAGGAAGCATTTACACATAGATAAAATGATATGTAGAATGATGTTGCAGAAGTTATTCACATTTTATATACTAGTTTCCCAACTCAAATGTCAGGTTATCATCATACTACTAGTTACATTGTAAGTTGTTATTTGAAAACTACTTAAGTTATAAGTCTATTAGTAAGTTTTTATAGGAATGAAATTTTGACAGATCTCAGAAATGTATTAGGGTATTTTTATAGGTGAATGTTAATGTTCCTAAGATATGTGGTAATATTTCTAGAGGATATCAAGAGAAATGAATTTAAGGGTGGGAAATCTACTTTCTGTAAAAAAGAAAGTTTCATGGTGTGTGTCCTTTGCAATCAGTTCTTTTCTCTGTTTTCACCTTATATTTCCCAGATCTCATCTAGGACTCCCAATATGCCCCTCTCAGCACCACTCAGGTCTCTAATCTTGAATCAGTTCCACATTTCCTGCTGCTTCCAAGTTTTGTCATCAGAATGCCCAAGGCTTATTCCTCTGTCTTGCTAAATATTTTCAACGGCCCAATAAAAATCTTTAACATTTCAGTAATAATACATTTTTGAACTGCTTTAATCCAAAGATTCTATGTCTCCCACCCTACTCAGTGCAGCCTAGTGAAGAGGCCAAAATGATGGCTCCTTTGCGTGATCTATTCTTTTTCATTGATGCTTGGTTATCTCTTGTGCTATAAAATTATTTTGGTTGTTAAATATACAATAATTTTCAGATTGCCTTGTGAATTACATTTGACCCTACTGTTTTTATTTTTATTAAATATTTTATCTATTTTACATACCAGTCAGTTTTCTTTCCCTCCTCTCTGCCTGTTCTCCCGGCTACCTTCTTTCTACTTCCCCATCCACTCCTCAGAAGGGTCATCCCCCCACTGGGGATCAACAAAGCATGGCATATCAAGTTGAGGCAGCCTGCTCTTATTCTTTATGGGATTGAGAATTTTGGGAGGTTAAGTCTATTGACAGATCTTTGATCCAAGTACCACATGCTTCTAGAACTTTTTCTACATTCATGAAACAAATGCCAGCCATTGTGAAACATATGCCATAATAGAGGTTATAATACTCATCTAATTTTACACAGTTATAAATTACTTTACCCAAAAGGAAAGTCTCACAGGATTGATAGCTGTTTGGGATACTATTTCATTATGAGTTCAGATAATTCAATTTGTATTTTTACTGTTTTAAATTTCATCTTACATTTAGGTCACAGTTCTCACTCCCATCCCCTGCATCTACTCCTCCAAAAGGTTAAGGGCTCCCATGGGGTGTCAGCAAAGCCTGACCCATTAAATTGAGAGAGGATCAAGTCCCTGCTCCCTGCATTAAGGAGGAGCATGGAAAATAACTCAATTCTACAATTTGTTGCTTAAGAAGTAACCTGAATAAAGAAAGGCAGTCAACTGTGTTAGACTTTTCTTAACTGTAACTAACACCAGAGTGAAATATCTTGAAAGAAGGAAGGTTATTTTGACTCAGGGTTTTAAAACATAGTAACTGCATCCATTGCTTGAGTCTGAGGTGAAGGGTAGTAATATGATGTTATTAGTGTTTTCCTGACACTATTCACTCTGTGGCAGGCATGAAACAGAGAGAAATATATGACCAAAGACCATGTATAGCCTTCAAAGTTTCCTCCCAACAACCCGCATTTCTACAACAGCTTACAATATCATCTTATTTGTTTTTCTGTTGCTGGGATAAACTATTATGATCAAAAAATTAGGGAGGAACAGCTTTATTTGAATATATTTGAATTTATTTGCAGTCATAGCTCATCACACAGACAAGTTAGGGCCTGATCCCAAGGCAGTAACTGATACAGAAACCATTGAGTAATTTCTTAGTAAATCTGGATCTTAGTGTACTTACTTGGCTGGAGGTTCTGGGCTATGCTTTGGTATCTTTGTATTAGAGCAGTATTAAGAGAAAGGAGTAATATATTAGTATATCTGACTCTTAGTTTACTTGAGCGGAGTCTCTGGACTATGCTTTGGAGCATAAATGGAATGCTAACAAAGTTGTCATCCTTCGATATCCTTATCTGTTATTGGCTGGTATTAGAAAAGTAACTTCCCAAGCATTGTAAGTCAATCAGTTGAGTACAATTGTCTAGAGATGAGATCAAATGTGAGTTCCAAGCATTTAAAACTGAATTTGGAGATGATATTCAGCTGCCTAGTATATTATAGGGTATCAGAATGGACACCATAGTGCCTCAAGCAATGGACCTCGTGATATGTCCATATTGAAAATCTTCCATGTTACTCACATCAGCATTAAGTACTAAATGGGAAACTAGCATTGATTGTTGAGTTATTAACCCAGAAGTATAACAAAATGAATCATGAATGGTCCTAAGTAAGCATAAGGTTTTTAAAATGTGAAAATTGTTTCATGTTTTATAATATTACAGTATTCAGAGAAAAATTATATCTTTAACAGAGAAAAATAGTATAAAAGTTGATACTTCGACTATTTGAAGGATAGAAAGCATTTGCAAGATGGGCAGGTCACATACCATTATGCTTTTTATAAAGCTTTCCTGAGAATCCAAAACATTGAGTCTTGAATTTCAAAGGACTATTTATTAAGTGTATAACTTATACTGAATTTATCTTATATGAAGTTGGTAGTATCATTAGAAAAGCAAGCAATAATAGTAAAAAGAGTGGCAACAATGCTAGATGTGGTATTTGAGAAAGAGCTATATACCACATGTTCCACTATAGCTCACATAGCATGTTTTAATAACCCTTCCAGAAGAAGGCATGGTATGTAACAAATTATTCCTCAATAAGTGATTTGAGTAACTTGAGGTATCATTCATATGGCTTTGACAGCATTTGTCCATTTCACTGAGTATTCACTAAAACTGAGAGATGAGTTTCTTTGGCAGGCAAAGAATACTGTGATATGAAGATGTGGATAGGAATACATGCTTGTAAGACAAAGCACTGCTAGCATAGTTACATTTGTTGAGTGTATATGAGAATTGAAGAAGAGGTCATATATATCAAAGACATACTCAAGAGCAAAAATACTAAACCTACATATTTTCTGTGTTGAACTTTCTTATTAAAAAGTAGCATATGCTTACTGTACGTCATATAAATATAATTATTGGAAGCAAAGATTCCTGCATTCATGCAGATTATCCTCTTAAATAGTATACCATAAAAACAAGATTGTGTCTACACATGTACAAACAGAGTCATGTAAATGACTCTGATGGATTGCACTGATGCAGCTATGTTACCTCAACAACAATAGAAGGAAGAGTCTTGGGGAAAATAGAGTGTTAAAATTCTTTGCTAGAACATGACAAGGAGTAGACCCTGGGAAACATCACAATAAAGATTAAAGGATGTTCTCAAGGTAAGAAGTGGAACTGAAAGAAAGCCTAGCAGCAGAGGAAACAATATGTGAACTGACACAGGATGAGCTTTAGATAAAGAAGTATACTGGTTCTTTTGAGCCTTAGACGACTCGGTAGGTAACTGTGATCTATTTACTTATTTATCTTACTATTGTTTTAGGGGAGAGAAGTTCTTGAAAGTCTTTAATTCTGTAGAAAGATAGATTAAAAATAGAACAGTGGGGGGAGTGAGGAAGGTTCAGGCCCTAGGGCTAGAGTCATATATCATGGTGGCACTACTGATTCCGATTAAGTGAAGACAAGATATGGTTATTCAGAAACAGTAGCTATGAGGCTGTCTATCCCTTTGATAATGCACATAATCTTCTCAGATTAGAATTTTTGCTTTGATAACATCTGTTCCACTCATAAACAGATTTCTAGGTTGTTTGTTCAGTTTGTCAACTGATATATACTGACCACTCAGTATGTAGTAGGCATGATTCTTGAAATTTGTAATAAAAAAGAAAACAGAAAACTTCCCTTGGAGTGCCTACAACCCTGCATAGCATAGAGGGCTAAAAGGGTACAGAAAAGATTAAGAAATATCTTATAAAACAATCACCAGGTGTGTAACAGTTTAGAAAATAATAAAAATATAACCAGAATTATAATTAGCAGTAAAGAAGAGGGGAGTATAACAACATTTTTAAGACACCAAGTAGGCCTTTATAGGAGTGGTACCTGAGTACATGATATGTGATGCTGTCTCTCAGACACTGGCAAGAGTAAGTTACCTAAACTTCAGAAAAGCATTTTGGAAATATTCCATGAAAGCTAGAAATTTCAGCGTTGTAACTCAGAACTATAAATGTGATATGGGGAATCAATGCAAAAGAAGTTGCTAGCATTTTAAGAGGGGGAGGGAGTCAGAAATGGGGCTAAAACAGCAGATTATTAGAAAGTCAAATTGGAAGACTCAAGAGAAGTCTAAGCACAGGAACCTAAATTTCAGTGATATAATAGCTAAATAGATATATTTCAAAAGGATAATTGTATATGGTGTTGGATGCAGTACATGCTTGACAGAAGAAATACCTTGGGCAGGAAGACTATAAACCTACTTACACGGGCTTAATATAAATCTGAACAAGCTGAGGAAGATTTGTCTGCCAAATTTTTCTTATTTGCAAATGAATGAAATAATTTATTTCACAGATGACTCCAAATAATTATGTAAATTATGCAGTAGAGCAGAATGAATTTCCATTACTAAGTTAAAGGTAATAAAGTAATAAGAACCTGAAAAATCTTTTTGTTGTTATGTTTAAAACTGTACAAAAGCATTATAATGTTATTTAATATGTAACTAACTGAATTACTAGATGTCTTATTTACTCTTCTATTTCTGTGAAGAGACACTATAACCAAAACAACTTTTAAAAGAGGACATTTAATTGGGGGCTAGCTTACACTTTCAGAGCATTAGTCCATGGCCATCATAATGGAAATCATGGCAGCAGGGAGGCAAGCAG